AGAAAACAGGGAGGTTGTACCTAGGGTTTTAGTAAACCGACATACACTTATGGGCCACGAAAATTTTTCTTATAGGCCAACGAAATTTGTCTTATAGAGCCGTAAAACATATTTGATAGAACATAATTTAATTAATGAAAATATTAAGGGTATTATTAAATAAATACAATTAAATACACTTTTGAGAGAGCTACTCGAGCTGCCACCTAAGCTTTTGCACTTCTCAAATAATAGATAATAAATAGTGGTCATTTCAATAACAAGAAATATAAAAGGTCATATAAACCAAAAACAATAATACTTGCAACGTACGCAAATAAATTGCGCTCAAAGTAAGGAGAACAATTTATTTGTGTCTGTTTATGAACGTTTTTCATTTGATGAATATAGCAAAAGGCAAAATTCGACAGTCTTTTATGTACACCATTTCTATGCTAGGTAAGCCTTTTAAAACATAAAACATAGCAAAAGGCAAGATTCTACTCTTATGAGTTAGGTCTATTTACCAAACTAAGAAAACTATTTATGTATGTGTCTCAAGAGAAGAATCAGAGAATGTACCAAACTATTAAACAACATCATCAATTCCTCAAGGTCCTCGAAGCTTCTTCCTGCAATTTTTTATATTTAAAGGAATCAAATATAACCATTCCTCAATATCAGATCAGAGACAGATGTTGTTTGCCGCCAAAAAATGGATCATTACCTCTAAAATATAAGGAAATTTGCTACAATGTACATCTATGGTTGAACGTCTGGTGGTGGGGGATCTACCGGTGGTGGAGGAATCGGAGGTGGTGAACCTTCGGGTAATGGAGGATGTTGCGGTGGTGAATCATCGGGTAATGGAGGATGTTGCGGTCCTGAGGGATTCACCAGTGGTGGAGGATTTTGCGGTCCTGCGGGAATCACGGGTAGTGGAGGATTTTGCGGTGGAAGAATCCTACCATGCTCAAAGCGGAAGGTCTCGTCAACATCTCTCCATCCGATGACACTGCAGCAGTTCACGCAAGACACTTCATGGCCCCAGTAGAGATGTAAGAAATCGGGTCCGAGTCTTCTGCGATCGAAACATTGTACCTGTAAAAGTGGATAGCTTTTCGATTAACAGTTTCTCAAAAAAACAAAAAACTCACGTACGAGTCGAATTGAGAAACTGATACACTTACACATGATAGAACTCATAATAACCGATCCAATAGTCCATGAGTGGAGGAGGTAATGCAATTTGGGCATTACATGTCGCACACGTATACGCAGGTTCGTCTTTCTCGATCAAGTAAACCCTTCCCATAATAAAATTCAGAAAACTGCAATAGGAACTATTTCATTAATTTATCCCCTAAATTCGATCAACAATATACGAACACGAGATTCTGATGTAGTTATTATACGGAAGTGATGATCATGGAAGAAAATTTCTCATGAATAACAACCACACAATCACCAAATCCGTAATCCCAGAAATCAGAAGCGATATCAAGAAATTATCCAGTAATTCGTTCGCGCTTCACTGAATAATGCATCAAGATTGACAAAAGTGAAGGAAGAAAATAGAAAATAGAGAAAAACACTAATCGATCTACTCTTCATAATACGCCCAGAAAGAACGAAGACAAAATCCAGCAAAGAAAATAATTTTCCGAGAAAATATTCACTCAAGAATGCAACAATCACAGAAGAAAAAACTTGTATCGTACTTGCTTCCGCATTTCAAAAGACGCAAGAAAAGTAGAGGAAACGAAATCCTGAGAAAATCCAGGAAAGAAAGTCCGATATTCCGAGAAAAGAACATAAAATTTAGAATTATTGAGAGTTAAAGAATCAAAGATCCATTGGTCTTACCCAGAGGATTCAACGAGAGAGAGGAGCGGAAGAGTTTACGCGCGAGAATGAGGCAGAGAAAATCCTGAGAAAAAGAATTCAACAAAGAAAATTCAGTTTTCCCGAGAAAATTAGCACGGCAGAGAGAGAATCTTGTAAGTCAGAGATCTTTCGATCATACCCATAAGAATAAACGCTAGAGAACAGAGGACGAGTCTGCGCGAGGATGAGGAGAATGCGGCGGAAAGAAAATCCTAAACAGATTCCAGCTGAGAAAGTTCAGTTTTCCCGAGAAAATTAGCGCGAGAGAGAGAGAGAGAATCTTTTAAGTAATGGAAGTAACAAACTCAGAGATGTTGCGATCTTACAAGAAGAATAAACGCCAGAGAACAGAGGAGGAGCTTCAAATATTTCCCGGTATTTTACATTT